GATCTAAAAAGCAAAATGAATACTTGGTACCCAGGGTACCGAAAAAGTGACCCCAGAACTCCCTTTTATGCCCTACTCAAATCGAACAGTTGCTAGTTCAATTCCTTCCAGTAATAAAATAATAAAAAACTAAATATGGAAGTGAAACACTGCAGGGTATAAAGAACTCAGGATATTTATAGATAGATATTTTCAGAAAATAGTTATTTTTGAGAAGTTGTGGCTGTGAAGCGAGGCATGTTAGAACTCCAATTTGGAATAGCTAAAGTCACAAGACATAATAAGAGGTCTAAAGTTTAAGAGAATACTACATGAACTTGTGATACTACCTGATTGGCAGGTAAAATTCTGGTCAATCATTAAAAGGTAATCTGACTTCTTTGGCAGTCAGTGCGGCAGTTGCATTTGGCTACTCAATAAAGTAGTAGAGTAAGGTTGGGCTAGAATACCCAGGGTGAACTTTCATAGACCATTAGAGTCACTGAGTTGTTTTGTGGCCCCTTGGGGGCCAACTAATAAAAAATAAAATGGGACCAGGTCATGGCAAGACATGCCTAAGAAAAAATAATAATAATAATAAGCTATTGTATTTACAATATGAAAAATATTATTTATTAGCTAATTTTTTTAAATAGTAAAATTTTTCTCTTTCTTATTAAATAATTATAATCATATTGGCTAATTTGTGAAATTGTACTAAAATAGATATAATTTGACATTTTTTTAATCTTGAATAACTTTTTTATATTGATCTGTTTTTTTTATTTATGATTTTACTGCCAAAATGTTTATCTCGATAAGGTAATTCTAACGTGCCAAAAAATCATCAAAATCCAATCACTGGATCACAAAATTATTAAGGTTTTTTATAGGTGTGACGCGGGCTATTGGTTAGGCCACAACTAATCAATGGACTAACCAATGGTCCAACGTTATAGATGCGTCATCTTGTAAAAAAAATTTCACAATCTCGTGAGCCAGTGATTGGATTTTGATGATTTTGGGTTGAATCGCCTCACCAAGACGAACATTTTGGTGGTAACAAAAAAAAAAAAACAGACCAGTATATAAAAAGTTATTCAAGATTTAAAAACGTTAAATTATATCTATTTCAGAATTAGCCACTATGTACTGTATATAAACATACATATAATCTATTGGCATAATACAGTATATATTTTGGCACCCGCTCCTCCGATTTACTTATTTGCGCGGGTAACACGAACCAAAAAAGGAAATCAAATAACTAAGTGCGTAAAAATAGAAGTTTAGGATTAGGACGTTAGGGTTGTGAGCTTTAGCGATAAGTTGGAGTTTCTTATATGTAAAATTTCATCCCCGTTATTTTTAATTAGTCGATTTAAACACTAGTTTTTGAATATTTTCGCTTTCTTTTCTTTTTTCTTCTTTCGCACGTGTTCGGATTCTACGTCCGATCTCTGATTGGGCATTTCCTTGTATTACCCGCGCAAATAAGTGCCCACTCCATTAATAAATGACACTTCTCTAATAATTTAATAAAATTTTACAAATAATAACATGTCTAATAGGCTTTATAATTTAAATATCTACCATGTCTAACATATTACAATAATACAGTATATCATGCTAGTTTTTTTGTGTTTTGATTAAAATAATCGCAAATAAAAATATTGTTGCTTTTCGTATTTATCTATAACGTATATACAGAATATGATCTAATGTTAATCCGTTCTAACAATTTTATAAGCGATAATGAACATCTGTGTGGTCTGGTTTTGACTATCTTTTTATTTGATCGACCAAATTTATTTATAAGTAATTTATTTAAAGTAGTACCCGTACTCAAACGTAAGCGTAACAGTACGTAACTGGCATAAATTTTTTTGACAAATAATATATACAAATATGGTATATCTGATATAATTTCAAATCAAACTAACCAATTAAATCACAACGAAATTTAGTACGAATTTAAGAGTAACGGTGGTGATGACCATGCAGATACTAATAATTTTATAAATCTATTTAGGTAATACTGTAATAGAGATAGATAAAAAGCGGGAACCGGATTAGATCTGCGTAACACAAGCCATTCGTAGAATTTCTCGGGAAATGACTATTTTGCCAAATTTCCTTTACAGCCCACAAGCAAAGCAAAGCCGACGGCTCATTGTTTATATATCGTTTTAGAATTGAAAACTGAAAATCGAAAATCATTTTTTTTTTTGACAGAAATAGCGCCGGAAAATCAAAAACGCACCTTTTCTAAAAGGATATCTATTTATAGCATTAGCGCTGATATAGTGTATGTAAACGTGGGGGGTATAAGCTTACTGTGATTAGCTCCCTTAATTAACCAAATGTGGCGTTAAACAATATTTAAGTCCGAAACTGATAATGCATATGACTTAGCACAATATCGATATCATAGTATTATAACGTTTCAAACATTAACTCCTTTTTAATTGAACTATTAAAAAATATAAAAAGTAGTTCCAATTGCTCTATCCTTTTTACTCGACCAATTTTTCGCAACGTATAATTTACGTTTTATTATTTAAGGATCCACCGTTTATAGCTTGCTGTTCCGGTGTAGAGCGAACGATTTCGCTTTGGTCACGAGTACCCTCATAATAAAGATTGGTTGCCGGACAGCCATCATTATACTGTATATTTAAAAATTTGAAGGTGATTGATTATATGTTGATCTAATATTAGCTTGTAATATTAGCTTGTATAACTGTATAACATAAATTTTTTCGACAAAGCGTCAAAAGAGTGTGCGTGTTCGTAACAAAAAAAAACTTTGTACTTAGATTTTATTTAATCAGCAAAAATTTCATACTACCGATCATTTCCAAACTGCACCTTTAAATTTTGTGTGATATCACAAACGGGTCCTTATTTAATATCGATATGTATTAAGTCGGTTTCATTTCCTTTACAGGGTACTTTTGCACTTTTTTATCAAGTTGCGTTTTCTGGTGCCCTCCCTTCACGGGCATTTTTGGAATATATTTCCTGTCTTTATTTCAAGGTAATACACCACTTTTTTTTTCATTCCATTTTTTTCTTCAAAATAGACGCTCTGGTAGCTGGACTATATATGATATACAGAGCGACTAATTGAATTCTTCGGCTTTCTCTGTTCTTTTTACGCAAAGTCATTTTAACCAGAGGCATCTTTACCTTGGTTTATTATAAACAGACCAGAGAAATAATCTTTAGTGCTCACGATCTTTCTGATTCACCTGGCGCGTTGAATCGTAATCACTCTCTTTCGTAACTATTAAAGTGGAATAAAAAAAAATAAATTAATTGTAAAAGCCATATTCTTCCTACTTCATCTAAATATATACCATTTTTAACGACTAAGCGAATATGTTGGAACATTTGGTTGAAAGAACTACTGCTAATGCTACCAGTACCAGTACTGTAACTGCAGATAATGCTATGTTTAAAACTGTTGGTATAGTTCTTGCCTTGTCTAGTGGTACGTTGTATTTTTTTTGATTTACGTGTTTTCGATTTATATTGGCCTTTCACGAAATATTCACGTCAATAATTTAGGCGTTTTCATTGGTACTTCTTTTGTATTCAAGAAAAAAGGTCTTCTTGAGGCTCAAAAAGCGGGTGGTACGTTCGTATATCTTCTTTATTATCATTTATATAAAAATCGGTAAGCAAATTGATTTTAATTCGTGTTCTCTAAATTAGCAATTGCTGGTCAAGGACATGCTTATCTTTCAAACGGACTATGGTGGCTCGGAATGATATTAAGTAATTTGATTTTCGCTTCCATCAATTTTCGCGTTCATTCAATTTATTGATCCATTTTCTTATTTAGTGATCATTGGTGAAATATGCAATTTCGTTGCTTATGCGTTTACACAAGCAATTCTCGTTACTCCTCTAGGTGCCTTAAGTGTAGTCATAAGGTATTATTATTTATTATGTTCATGTATATTTCGTGTGTGTACTTGTAAACTTTATTTACCATAAAAGGTTAAATCATATTTTTTACAGTGCCGTATTATCATCTATATTCCTTAAGGAAAAGTTAAGTTTTGAAGGCAAAGTAGGCTGCGCTCTGTGTATTATTGGTGCCACAATTATTGTTATACACGCCCCTAGTACAACAGTGGCAAATAGTATCGACGAGTTTAGGAATGAGTTCTTCCATCCTCGTAAGCAATATTTTAGTAAATTGTCATCTTTTATTTACCTTCTTAAACATATTAATTTTTTTTTTTTACATAGTTTTTTTGGGATATGCTATTACATGTATATTTCTCACATTAATCATAATATGGAGAGTTGCTCCAAAATATGGTTCAAAAAATATGCTTGTTTACATAGGCGTTTGTTCTATGATCGGTTCTCTATCTGTTGTTACCACTCAAGGTCTTGGTACGGCTATTGTGACAACTATAATGGATCCAAAACAAAATCAATTGACTAATTGGTTCTTTTACGTTGTTGCTGCTTTTGTCGTCGTCACTTTGTTAACTGAGATAAATTACTTAAATAAAGCGTTGAATCTTTTCAATACTGCCATGGTAACACCCGTATACTATGTACTCTTTACCGGTTTAACGATAATAAGTTCTGCTATCCTTTCCAATGGTTTTAATGCTTCTCCTACTAGCATTGCAACTGTGGTATTGGGTTTCTTGGTAATTTGTAATGGTATTGTGTTGCTTCAAACCTCTAGAGGTGCATCTATGGATGGTCGACAATCTATGTTGATATCTAACGACCATGTTAGTTCTCCGGTTCTGATGAGTAGTAGTGAAAATGAACCTGGCGCTCTAGATATCCGTGCTAGTTTTGGAAGTATTCGTAGATATTCATCTCATGGGCGTACTTATCCGGCTAATAATTCGAATACATATCCTAGTCCTAATAATTTGCAAAGACGGACTCAAAGCTTAAATTACGGTCCAAATATGTCTGAAGCTTTATCATCAATACTTGAGAGGTCTTCAAGTCTTTCAGATATTAAACGAGTTGAACGTCAAGAAGATACTTCTGTTGCTCCTACAGATGACGAACTCCATTCTAACCGATTTAGTAACCAATCACAAGATACTCCAATACAACATCATGAAACATTGACATTGGCTAGGAATTCTTTTGTACGATTTTTAGCAACTCCTTCTTCTGCATCATCGATAGATGAACAACAGACATCGCCACATGGACAAAACCAACATACCTTTACCTCTTCTATATTATCACGGAAAAATTCATCAACATCACCAGAATCTCCGCATTCCGATGAAAGAGTTATAAATATACCGCCGATTCCATCACCTCTTCACCCGATTGATTATCTTCGACAACATTTTTCTCCTACCAATTCTGCGTTTGATTCATCTAATAATAACAATAATGTCACTAGTGAGTCCTATAGTGGCATAATTCCTAGTAACTTAAATAGGAATACTAGTGCCTCAGGTAAAAGAGCACCAAGTATAGGATTTGTTGATAAATTAAAATTAGGGATTGGTGACCAGGATGAAGATACTGAGGGGTTGGTGAGTAGCAACTATTCTAGTGGGGAAAATTAGATCAGTTATGTTTAATTAATTATCATGAGAATTTTCATTTTGTATAACAGTCATAATACCACTATAATGAGGGGAGAGCAAAAAAAAAAATAGGTTAAATAGTTTTTATATGTACTTTTATTAGTTTATAACAGTACAGTTTCATAAAAAAGAAAAAAAAATCGATCATTAAATTTTATTATAATAATAATGTTTGAATGACTATGGAGAATTCATCATTTTATCAAAAAAAAAGTGTTCATTTGTCTCGCATTATATGTATTCATTTAGGGAGGTTATTATGTATAAATTAAAAAAGAAACGAGTTGATACTTCTGACTTAAAAAACAAAAAATCCATTTTCATTATCATGCGGGACGAAGACTTTATGCGCATTATTTAAGTGCACGTTTTTTTACATGTAACGTATCTTTCTATTAGAATTTTCGTCTTTATTGCATCATTCACTAATTGTACGCGACGCGTTTTTAACTGATGTCATATTCTAGGCCTGTAGAATTGTTACGGTCTACGTGTCCGCATTATGTACGGAACTGGTTTTGCTTTTAGATTAGTCGTATGGCTGTGTTGTTATGCGGGTTATAAACTTTTTAGCCTATTACTGTAATAATGTTGTACATGCTCAAAAAGCCTCTTTGTTTAGTCAATAATTCTTCCCCTAGGCTTAGTGTTTATTTATGACAGCTTTATCTCAAGTATTTATATATTTATAGGTGAGGAATTTTTTTTTCATTTCGCTATCGTTTCGGTTTTATTTCATGTGACCTCATTGGATTCTGGCAGAATGTTTTAACCTTAGATTCATGGCAAGTATAGGTTTCCCATTGATGTACAAATATGGAATTTTCATTATCCGAGCATAAAGAAGATGTGTAGTAGATCTTTACCACAACTATAATATTCATCAATTTCTAATATTAGTTAAAAAAATCAAGCACGTTAAAAAAATTTAATTGTGTAATATATTTAATTTAGTAATAGATTTCCTTTAAATAATCCTGTATTTTTATTTTTTTATTTTTTATTTTTTTAAATCGTATTTTAGTAATTTTATTCTAAATTCCTTATTAAAAAAAATTTATTATCAGAAGAATTTTTTCAAGTGCGTACGTACATATAACGTTGTACATGGAACTGTCCGGGTCAATTGTCCCTATCGTAAACTTCTGAAACGGTATTACTAAGCGCCGTAATTTTAAGAGGGGAGGGTGTTAGCAGTTTATCACTTCTATATGTAATATATAAGCATTTTGATTGGCTTCTAACTCGATCACCTAGAAGGGGCGCTTTCCTTACGTAGTGCATTCATTCAAGATCTGTTACGTAGTATGGATACGTATAAATGCATAACAGTAAATTCTAATTATGTATTTAAGGAAGACATAAAAAGGAAGAGGATGATAAGGGAAATTGTGCATAAATGTATCGCGATAGGTTAAATCAGTAAATTGATTGACCAATGGGGATTTTACAATATTAGACCTAATAAGCTATATATAGTATATATATATATATATTTATTAATTAATGTTAAAATATATTATATATATGTATACGTATTATAAAAAATTTTTTAGCACTTTTTGTTTTACTACCTACTGTATGTTACGTTATTTTAAAAAACTGGCCAATTGATCAGTATTTGGTTAATAAGTAAAAACGCTTTACGCTCTTGAAACCCCTTTTCGAACCCTAATCCTAACTCTAAATACTAATCCTATTATGAAAATTTTAAGTTAAAAAGATTTTATTTTATACATAAAACTTATAAAAAACTTAGAAATTTTATAAAAACATAATATATAGATGCAAAATCATTATATTTAGGTGTGTTTATAATATAAATATATATTAACAAAATATAATACAGTATTTTGTATAAAAATTAATTACAAATAAAATAATATAATAAATTATTTTATTTATTTTATTTTATTTTATTTTTTTTAGTTAATGCCTTTTGGAGTTTGAATTTTACTGTTTTGGAATTATAGTTTTTTAAAAGGTTTATATTTAAATATTAGTAAAATAGAACCAATTATGTACAATATATAATACTGTATTTAAAGATTTTGCTTAAAAATTATTTACTAATCATTCTAGAAATTTTATTTTTGGTTAATACTTTACTGTTATATTTTTTAGATTTTTATTTTATTGGAAATTTCAGGCATTAATGTTTTGTTTTTTTAGCTTTTTAAATGTATATTTTTATGTTAATTTTAGTACTGATTTGGCATTTTTTATACAAGTTTACTAAAATGCACCCTATGGTGCTAAACATCATAAGTGCTATTTTTCAAAAATGTACTAAGTAAACGGGATCGAGTATTTTAAGTAAAAATGCTCAGAACCCTGAAAACCTCACATCGGTTGGTCAAATCACTGGTCACCAAAAATTTGTTGGTCAAACTGGTCTGGTCAAATTGGTCAAATGGTTCAGTCAAATAGCCTAGTTTATTAAATAAATAAATTTAGTATACAAAGTATATATATATATATGCATATTTATACTATATATTTAAATATTCTTTGGCCAACTTGACCAATATTAAACCCTTTGACCAACTGGTCAAATTGGTCAAACTGGTCCGTTCAAGCTTGACCATTAACCTGTCCGTGCCAACCCTAATTATATTATATAAAATCTCTCCTTTATCCTAAAACTGCACTCTAACCCTAAATTTTATTAATAAAAATTATATATGGTGTTCAACTAGGGTATCTGGCAAAGTAATCACAAGCATGCTATCTTATAAATTAGTTACACAAAAATAAGCAATATTATAATTGGTTGGTGTTAATAAGGCAGTATACAGTATATAATATATATAGAATATGTGTTGTGTTAGTGGCATGCCAGAGTGGCAGTCTGGCATGAATTTAAACAAATGGCATGCCAAATATTTCAAGCATGTCTAGATTGAATATCCAATCATGATTTTTGGATTTTGGACATCCAATGTCCAATGGTCCAATGGTTTTCATTGGACATGGGCGTTTAAGATCCAATGATTTGATTGGATGACAATACTAACTATAGGTGCAATTTATAATTTTGTATTTTTATATTTTATATAACATTTAAAAAGTGCTAGTTTAATTAATTACAAATACACTGGCGATTATAAATAATGTATCAAAAAAAAAATTCATTAGATCGAATTTTTTCACGCAATTTTGCATATATCCTTTTACTTTTTTTTTTTTTATTTGTAAATACTATCCTTTTTATCAATAAAAATTTTTAAAAAATTAATCAATAAAATTTTTTAAATGCACGAGCTTTATTTGAATTTACATGCTGCATCTCTTTTGCTCATTTTTACAACAGCACGAACCTAAAATACAAAAATTTTTTTGTACACTAAAAAAACATTTTTTTTTTCTATTTAATTCCCCACACGTTTACTATCTAGTATAGCCACCCCGAGCCCTAATGCCATCGCGAACTTATTCTGGCATTGAACGAATTAAGTTCGTGCAGATCTCAAGATCGATCTGCTCCTACACCAACTGAATTTTCTCCCAGAGGTCTTTTTCACTCGAAATATTGCCAGGGAGCTTTCTCAAGCAACAGTCAACTTCGGCCTACAGGTGTTCGATCAGATTTAGATTGGGGGATGCAGGAGGCCACTTGAAGGTTTTAATCTTATTCCTTCTAAACCAATATTTGGTTAAGGTTGCAGTATGGCAAGAGGCACTATCTTGCTGAAAAATTATATTCCGCACCCTAAATCCATGATTATTCATGGTTTTTAGAAGGTCGTTGTGAAGTATCAGCTAGTACAACTCACTATCCATCATACCATTGATTTTACAAAACCCTCTAATACTGCGGGATATAAAGCAACCCCAGATCATAACAGAGCCACCTCCATGCTTCACTTTTGGTTGTACATGGAAGTGGTTTAATGGTTCCTCAGGACACTTCCAGTAATACTGCTTCCTATCTGAGCCAAAAATTTAAAACTGCAATTTGTCTGACCAAATTACCTTTGACCATTCTTTGACAGACCAGTTTGCATGTTTCTTGCAAAAATCGAGCCGCGCTTTTTGATAATCAGCGCTTAGGAACAGTTTTTTTTATTTAATCCCAAAATCAAACCATGCTCCCGGAGTATACGGCGAATAGTAAAAGCCAAAATTTCGAGATTTTCCTTTTCTTTCAGATGGAAGACCACCTGTAAAGCGGTAGAGCAGCATCGAGAGGTAATAAGGTTCACAATCTTCATTTGGGCTAGTTCACCCAACGAAGGTGGGCGACCAACCCTTCCTAAATCTTGGAGCGTCCGGTTCTCAAACCACCTTTTCTTGATACGGCAGATAGTGAAAGAGGCAATATGGTGAGCCTGGCCTATAGCCCTTGTCGTGTATCTCTTTTGCAGCGAGAGCAAGATTTGTGCCCTTTGTTTGGGAGTGGTATGGTTTTTTTTTTTGGATTTTTGATTATCAATTAATTCCAACATTGCACAAGATGCAAAATTAGACAAAGAAAATCTATTTATAATTTTGTGTCATGTAGTACACATAAGCCATCTGATATTTAGTAAAAACAAGCAAAAATAATGCATCACATGTTTTGTAACACACGCGTGATTATTTTCGGATTGGCAGTATAGATGTTAGATAAAATTCTACAAGTAAATAGTGACGCCATTCACGAATAAAAAAACAAAAGGATACATGCGGAATTGCGTGAGAAAATTCGATCTAACGAATTTTTTTTTTTGATGCATTATTTATGATCGCCAGTGTACAGTCACTCCCCATACAGACACACCCTCTTTATAAGCACACTGATTTTTAGAACAAATCTATATAAAACATAAAAATTTGACCTCTATACAGTTCTTATAAGCACAGAATTTCTTGGAACCAAGGGCGTGACTGTAGGGAGGTTTGAATGTATTTTAATTTAACTACATAATCAACAATTTGAAAAATGATAACTCATTCTACTATATTAGCTTATGGCCCGTGGCTTTGCCACGAACATTTTTATATACTCCTACTTAGTGATGGGACTACAGATGCTAAAAAATCAATTATTATGCGCCGTGATCTATTGAAAAAATTTGATCCTTTATAAATTTATAGAATGTGTCTTAGCATCGGTAGTCTCATCATTCCTCCGAATATTAGTCCTCTCTATAACTATTCTAGTGTCACCACCCTAAACAATTTTGTTATCTGGTCAAATCAAAATTTGAGACAGATATAATAGCGAAACTTTTTTAGGTTGATGACGCTTATCAATCCTTATGTTATTCGTAGGGATGTTAAATAGCCTGACCAGGTGATTAGAATTTATATTGTAATACGGATTTTAATGTACTGACTAACTAGTTAACTGGCTGGTTCAATTAAATAGATCACGTTTTAAACCACCTGGCTAAACGACTTAACATCTCTAGTTATTCGCCTGCACGCAGAAACGGGAAGAAATTAAAAATTAAATGTCCGATAGAAAGTAGTCCTGTCGTTGGTAAAACTTATTCGTGTAACGATGATGTTGATCATGTGTTATGATTTAAAGACTGTCTCATAGTGTTTATCTAATAGCATTTATCTGCCCAACTGCAAACTATATAATACTACGTAGCATTTGATCCGTGGCGTTGCCACGGAAGTTTATAAATGGTTTTTTTTTAGCAATACTAAGTATATACGTATCTAGATTTAGCCGTCCTCTGACTTGGGCATTTATTGGCCGTATATTTCGACTAAATAATCAAAATGCAGAATCAAACCCATTTTACACTGAGAAGTGACCAATCAAAGGGTGTGCCGAATAGGCATTAATTATCTATATAGTTATTTAAATGCATATTCGCCACAACCTATGATTAGTCACGCACCAGTGCAAAAAAGGATTAGGCATAATGATAAACATTATATGATATATATTTGAATCTGATCTTATCTAATAATTCGGTAAAAGATTTAAAGTTAAAAAAAAACCAGGCAAATTTATCTGGTTTTGAAAAACAGCTAAAGTAAAATAGGTCCGTAAAACCGTACTACATTGTCAGAGTACGCGATCAACATGTGACATAGATCTACTTAGTTAACAGCCAATTAGATTTAATTCTCATAGCGAGATCACTCTTATAAATTTTATATTACACAATTTCTAGTTGCCTTTTTTACTGATAATTTCACGGTTGATATTTTTCACGGTAGATAATTTCATGGCTGATACTTTCATAACGGACTTTAAATCTTTTGATTTTTTTAGATTGCAGGAAATTTTATAAGGAATTTTGTTCGTAAATTATCTATAAAGAATGTGAACAAGGAAGGAATTTTAAAAAAAGAAATTTAATTTTCCCATGGATAAAAGCCATGAAAAATCTTATAGAAAATAACAGTTATAAAGTCATGGGTGTTAGATCTGTTCAATATGAAAAGATTATGATCGCAAAATGTATAAAATCATTAGACATTGAGCTTTTATGCTCGTGAAAAATCACTAATCATATATGTTATTATCAAGTTTTTAAAGGGTCAAATCTGGTAAATAATAATAATTGATAAATTTGAAAGCTCGAAGTCTCAGTTTCTCTTGGCAGCACTCTAATTCATAGTCGGAAATAACAATTTTTTTTACTTAATATATTTTAATAATATATACATATATGGGCTAGGTGCTGGAAAAAGGAACGAAATTGACAAATCAAAAGATCTTCAGAAAATCAATTTTTGTGTTATAAATCTTATAATAGATTATAAAAAAATACAAACTTTAAAGAGCTATACTGCAGAAATTTTATTAACACAACTATTTTTGTGTCTTAAGTAAAAACCGTTTCTAATCTTATTCTATATTAATTTGTGTAAAAAAATTTAGTTTGAAAAAATTGTCATTTTCGTTCTTTTTTCCAGCACCTAGCCCATATATATACTGTATATATTAACATATCGTACCATACTTAGAAATTTTCCAAGATAAACCTATTAGAACATGTTTTTTAAATGTACATGCGAAACCAAAGGGAACTCTACAAATTTTGCATCTAAAAACTAAGCCTTCATAAAATTTTGTTATCGTCTTTTAAGGCATTATTTAAATCAACAAACGAATAGATCAAAAAGCCTGTTTCTTGAGCAATATTTTTTTGCTCAGCTGAAATCTGTGCTGTTATGTCTCTCCGAATTAAAAGAACATAGTGTCAATTTTTTCTCTGCCAGGATAATCGCTTTTTTTAAGAGCTTAAGTCTGTTAAAGCAGATAGATTTTTAGCTGACCAATCAATATCGAATGAATCAAGATCTGTAGACATCCAATAAATAGGAAAAAAAACTTGGCTTTTGACTTGATAACTTCTTTTCGGAACCCAAGTTATTATGTTCTGTGAGTGATTTTTATATAATCAAATGAAAACAATAGCATCAGTGGTAACCTACCCAAATGGTCTCTCGCCCTTTGGTCAGGTAGTATTACAGGGTATAGCGCTATGGCTTGTTGCATGTAGTGGCTCTCGTACCCTACACTGAACCTCTCTTCCAGTATACTAAACAATATTGGTATCCTACGTCCATATGGTCTTTGCCCTTTGGCCGATGCTTGAAAGGGTAATGTTGGGGATATAACACTGTGACTCATGTAAATGGCTCTTAGTGCTTTACGCCTCCAACACACTATATTATTAGATGCATAATAATTTGTTCCATTGTAATTATCCAATAATACTTTTTTTTTCTAGATATGGATTTCAATTAACACACCTTCGACCTTAAATATGAGACTGTTTGCAAGAATTGGAATGTTCTAAATTATTTTATATAATATATTTGAAGATCATACATATATACTTCAGATAATAAACAAGAAATATTATATTAGTTTATGAAAACTCTTAAGAATTTTGACTGCTGATGCCATAAACTCAAAGGCGAAGACCAAAACCAAAAAATTATATAATTATGTTGACGGAACTTTTTGAAAGCGTGAAATTATGCCGATTTTGACTAATGATAATGTAATGAAAGAAGTACTTGAACAATTCATTTTCTAATCAATCAATGAAAAATTTCGGCCAATAAGCGCAGCTCTATGAAAAAAAAGGATGCGACCAGTGTTTCGGGCGAAACCCGATTTTGCAGATCATTTGCAGATCAAATTGGGCGAAACTAGTTTCGGAGGGTTTCGGACTTATAGGGCGAAACTAAAATTCCTCTGGGCAAAGCGTTTCGGACTTTGGGGGAGGTTTAGGCCGAAACACTGGCCTGGACCTCCATTTCTCGTTAATTGGAATGATAAATACCCTTGATTGTAGTGTTGGGCGATTACTTATTGATTAGAATTAACAGCAATTATTTATGAATTTGTTAACAAATGTTAATTATCTCATTTTTGCGTCAGTGATGAACAATCCGAATTTCCGAAATTGAGACGAAATCCGATATAAGTCCGATATTCTGATTGGGAGATGTGGATTTAAATTAACAATTCGTTTCAATGTAAACTTCATTATGACGAATTCGTTCAAAAAAATTAGTTCCAAGAACAACTTCCTTAAAGAACAACTTCCTTAATCCGAATTAAATTCTTACATGCATTTCTTAAATTAATGTCTATTGACAATTGCTAAGATAATCTATAGTATATTCTTTAAAACCATACAACGGACTTTAAAGCGGGTCCGTATTGTTTCACCGACAATCACTTCACATTTCACAGGCAATTATTCATCGACAAGTTCATTTTACCGACAGTCTATTTCACCGAAGCTTATTTCACCGACAAGTTTTTTTTATAAATTACACTAACTTTAACTCTAGCTCTAACCTAATTCTAATGATATTGACCAGAATTAATTTGTCTGTAAAATGAGCTTCGGTGAAATAAACTGTCGGTGAAATGAACTTGTCGGTAATGTGGCGTCTACGAAGTGATTGTCGGTGAGTTTATAATTTACCGAAACTAACCTCTGAACAATTCTGACTGGCGGCACATGCTACGTAATTAAAATGCTAATAACTAAATTTGTTCGATAAATTATAAACTTTAGAGACTGCAGTCCAGTCTTCTTTTAGCAGCACTCATCTTATTTACTAGATATGAAAAAAATTTAATAGTGGCATTATAAAATTAAGTTATATCTTATGTTTGTATCAATCACGGATTTTGTCAATTATTAATCGACCTGGGTAATTCTTTAATTTCACCAATTAAAAACTTTACCGATATTTATTTTTATTTTTTGTAAGGTTAGTTCTTGATATTAGGTATATGTATCAAATACGAAAGTGAGAGAAAAACCAAAATATTATCAGTAACAATTGAATTATTAAAGTGATAAATTTTGAGATTCTGGTCCAGTCAATTAGGATTTTGGTGAATCCTGACGCGGAGTTTTGGGAATAATTAGCTTCAAACATTTAGGATTGGTTATAAACTTTGGGCTGTTACGGACATTTCGGAATTAACGGATATTTCGGAAAATTAAATACCGGGCGAAACCAATATCGCCCTATTTCGGATTCGGATTTGGCAAAATAGTTTGGTTTCGCCTGAAACACTAGTGTCCGATCGATGCGAATTATGCAATTTCTTATTTAGATTTTGTCAATTGAGAAATCTTCGGAATATTTCGGACTTTCTGCATTGGAAGTTTCGGAATTTAACTTGTCAATCACCTCTTCCACCAATCATATTTCAACCACGCGCATTTTATGCCTTTTCCCTTTATTATGTGATGCGAAAATTTGGAAAATTATGCGCATATTAAGTTTTTGCATAATCCTAACCATTGATTTGGCGCGTCACTAACTGGCACCGATATAACAATAATTACGGGACTTTATCAATTTTACGAAAATAAAGTCACTTTGTGCTGTAAGTAGTGATAGACACCGCGCGTGATCTGCGCGTGATGCGCGGGATTTTTTTGGATCCCGCGCGGGTATAATTCGGGCAGTGTAACAAATCTGACCGGTTCTTAAATATTCCGGGGTCGAGGTAAAATTTCGATCCATTTCCGTAAGATTCCGAAACATGAAAAACGAATCTCGCGCGGGATTTTTCTGATTGCCCATCACTAGCTGTAAGTAATTCTATGTTTCTACCATTTAGCTAGTCTTGAGTTTCGTTTAAAACGCCTCTTATAGTGGACTAGATAAAAACAACTGTTTAACTGGTGAAGTCATTGATACGATTTTGCCAACTTTTTGGGCTTTAGCATAAAAACTTTGGAACATAGTGGGTATCTATATCTTTTATAAGCGTTATTTTTTTAGTTAAGCAACTACATAACTAATATGATTCATATATGAAAGTTTAAGTTACATGTTTTCGACGTTGGTGGTCAAAAGTCTATAAGATCTTACTGGAGAAATTATTTTGCAAAAAACAGATGGCGTAATATGGGTTGTAGATAGTGTTGATATGATGCGATTAGATTGTAAGAAGGAATTGTAAGCGTTATTACTAGAAGAGTAAAATTTATCTTTATTGGCGATGTATCGAAATAAATAGTGCTTGGCTGTGCCTCGTTACTAAGGGTTTTTTGAGAAATCTAATCAGGAGTTTAAATTTATATCGCAGTATTTCATATCTATTACAAACATTAACATATTATCAGACTGATCGAGTGGTCTATAACAATGTAAATATGGCAAGAACACCCTATAAGAAAAATGTACTGTAATTGTACGGGTTGGCGTGGAATGGCACGGGTTTCGGTAGCACGGATTAAGCCCGAACCTTGTACATAAGAGGCTCGAATTGGCACAGATTTTTGGCTCGTGTTGGACCGTATACCAGTGCCAATTGGACCGTTAATGACTCGGGTTTTGCAACGCTTTACTAGTCCAATTAGCACGGGTTTTGGCACAGGCGTGCGTAAATTCACGTACCACTAAATTTCAAATATACATACTAAAACATAAATTTTATCTATAATCATTAATATAGTGCATATTTAAATATTAAAGTAATTGCACTTGTGTAAAATTTGTAAGGAATTTTTTTCGTTAAGATGCCCAGAACAATTTTATCGGTGAAATTTTGAGATATTGCATTTTTTTAAAAAAAAACCATTTACTGAGCCTTTGCTCTTGAGACACGTGCATATACGTATAATTTAATACGTGCCATTCAGTATGACGTGTCAAAACATACCACCACTTTACCGTAATGTCCGTAAAATCAGCCTCTACGTGTCACACACTCGTACCATTTTGTACATTCCCGAGCCACAACCCGGACCACTTTCTTATAGGGACATTGATTGCAGAGAAAGCAATAACCCGATTGGAAGAACACGATTTGTTTAGAAATAAATTGTACTTGTTTAAATAAATATTATAAAGTATATAAATAGGATCTGGCTACACTTTTGATCTTTTCACTCTTTTGACTTTTGGAGTGAAATTAATATCCTGGATTCAGCATCATTAACCCTATAAGAAAAGTGGTCCAGGATCGCACGGAAAAACAGTGTATAGGCACGTGTTCGAGTGGCACGGGCTATGGGCCGGGTTTGCACTGCATGGTTCGAGTTGGCACGGAATCGGTGGACCGTGTTGATCCGTATACCCGTGCCAATTTAACGTGAAATCACGTAAATCATACGTGCCTTTTGCAGCAGTTTACTAAGCCAATTGACACGGAGCTGATGGCACGTGAATGGAACGGGTAAGTAAACATAAATTTACGGTCCACTTTCCAATAGACATTTTATTAGAATAATAGTTAGAGTATGTATATATCTGGAAACTACAGTAACTGCAAATATGTAAAATCTTGCAAGGAATCTTTTTCCTTAAGATATCCAGAGCAGGTTTACTTGCGAGTTTTTGAGATAATGCAATTTTTTTAAAAAAAAATCGGTTGTGATCCTTCGCTCTTATTGTACTCCGTGAAATGAGTCAGCACGTGATACTTTTAACACGTGCCATTCCGTGGACGTGATATAACGTGCTACCTATTACTGTAATGTCCGTGTCATTTTTAACCGTGCCATTCCGTAAAACGTGCCATTATAGGGCTGGTAGTTTGTATATTCAAATAATCTCTTGCGATTAAGCTTAGAATGGGGTATTCTTCTTAAGGTAAAAAATTTTTATTATCGCTCATGATTGGAAAGATTTTCTTTATATTAATTTTTTTATCAGTAAATAATCAAGACAGGATCGGACTATTACGGACCGAGGACAAAGAATCATTGAATCTTCGGTTTTTTACCGCCGGTCTCGAAGATCCAACCCTATTTAGATTGTTAATTTATCACTTCAATTTTTTTTTTCGATCTTGTGAAAATATGTGTAATAATCATTAAATGGTATATAGTAATGATAAAGGCGTTGTTCAAGCACCAATTGCGATCAACGTTTTTAAGTTATTGTAATTGTTTGAGCATCACATCAAGGAAGATGCGTGAAAATAATACGTATTACTCATACTCTTACTATGTACGTACATACTATTGATATTCAATATTTCCCTAATTAAAAATCCTGCTATATGTGAATGACGCCAAGGGAAATGGGACGTTGATTATCATTGATTACCGTTACTTAAATAAACAATATACCAAATGTCCCCTTGGTGTCACTCATATGAATGCTGCCAAGGGAAAAGGGCTACTTTAAATTTTATTAAATTATTTTTTACTTGATTAAAATTGATAATTTTTTTATTTGAATTCTACAAATTTATAAAATTCAAGTAAAAAAAATTATTATCAATTTTAATCGAGTAAAAAAAAATTTAATAAAATTTAAAGTAGCCCTTTTTCCTTGGCAGCACTCACCAAAATCACTAGCTAATCACATCGAGCGTGCTGTTTGGGAACACCACTTCTACTATTATCAAATTTCTAATAATAAAAAAATTTTTTTTTAATATTTCAGCCAAGATTTCTCAATATCAGTCGAGTAAGTATAGTTTTAAATATCAAAAATGAACAGGATATTATTGAGATACGTGCGCTCATAGTCTGCAAAAAGATTAAGTGAAGAAAACCAAAAATTTTATTTTTACTTAGTCAAACAACTATAAGATTTAATAAACTAGTATATGTTATACTAGAGAATTAGTATATGCAAAGGAATCCTTGAAATTGTTGTATTTTAAAAGCAATTCGTAAATAAATAACGAATTTAACAAATTTCTGCGTCAGGTGGTCACAATAATTTGAAAAGCGCGATAAAAAAAAAGGGCGTTTCTCAAGCGCCTCAATCAATGGGTCAAAGTATGTCGAAAATATGTTGGGAATTAAATTTTAATTAGCGGAAAGTATTTTTAATCGATCAATCGAGCTTGTCATTAAGATAAGTAAGACATAAGAAAAAATTTTAAATAGTAAAAAAAATATAATCAAAAACCTTTTGTCCTGAACCACCTTTTTCCTTTTGCGTTGACATATTAAAGTATTGCTCAAGCGTTTTCATACTTTTTATTATGGATTTTCATTATGACACTCAGTTTTTGTAAAATTTTCGATAATCCTCTCAAGTAATTATTGAGATCTTTATTTTGATCATTGAGCATTACTGCAATTGTTAGAAAATCACAGTAATTGGGGTTCAAAATTAACAAATAAGTGGCGCATTTCGAAAATATGTAAATAGATGTTGAATTATAAATTGGAAATTGTCATTCGTATTATTGACAATGGTATCAATGGTATGACAATGGCCAAAATCACATCATAATATGAGTGCCGCCAAGAGAAAACCTTCAAATCTTATTAGATAAGATTTGCAGGTTTCTCTTGGCGGTACTCATATTTGTGCACATATGGGCGGGAATTTTTAGTAGAGTGCTGTGACTATATAAATTAGGTGATTATACTCATAAAACTGATAAGTAACGGATCAATTTGATAAGTAATGGATCATTTTGGATCATTCTGGGTTATTTTTAGCTAATCTGTTCGGTATACTGCTCATAAAAACTGATAAGTATCTGATAAGTAACTCATAAGCAGTTTTACAATCACCAATAAATAATCACTTTTAATATTAGTAATCACACTGTATCATATATATTATTGGCTCAAACCCTATTAATCTCATCATTCAACTTAAATAATCACAAACTAATCACAAAATTGAAGATTTCCGCCTATATGACTATTTCGATCACTATGAAATCGCATCTAGACTGATGCTTGAGAACACCCAAAAACTAGTAGGTTATAAGGTGGAGGGAGGTATTCTGGCGGAGTTAAAATTTATCAAAATTTTGCTTATAGTAAACCTTTATTAAAATATTACTTGTTTCAAAATAACATAATTCTCTATATATTTGATTCGCAAAAATACCGTTCCTTATGGGATGAAATATATATATTAGGGTTCTAAAAACTATACTACTGTCGAAATATAAGGCTATTGGGTAAAAATTTAGCAGTCCACTATTACTGCCCAACCAGATTATAAGATCAACTCAACATAATATTAAAAAAAAAAACGGAAATTAGTGTTCAATCATTTAATAAAATTTTTCAACATTATTTAAGACACGTAATTCAAAGAGAGCTAATATTTATTTAGCTGAATACAACCATAATTTTAATGTTAATAATTCTTTTGCTAAATTAATTATTAGCTCACTTCAAATTACGCGTCTCGAATAACGGTTATGGAAGTTCTTCGCGTAGATATGGTACTGTATTATTTTAAAGACAATATTTAGGCAAGTTGAAATCAACGTTGTGAATTAATTTTTTTTCATCCCATTAGGAACAGGAACAGTATTTTTGCCAAGTTGACTTGTGTTTGCATAATCTTTATTAGTGCGAAATAACTTCAATGGTCAGCGGATCGATGGATCGACATAAATTAACGAATGATAATCGGCCGCAGTATTATCGCTTCCTGTTAAAGAATATTTGTATGATTATTTGCAATCCATTGATCGGAATTGAATGTTTTATGCACCATTCGATTTGTCTTGGTAAGACAAATCGAATGGTATAAGAATCATTGATTTTCGATTGATGAATCGTGTGTAAACTTTAATATAAGTTGATGTGCCACTTTCCACCTCCGCCAAATTACCTTATATTGTAAAATCATTTAGCACATGCTAATGGTCTAACATCCTGTACGGTGGGATGTTCGTTAAATCAAAACTATTTACAGTCCCTTATCAAATTGGTATAATAGATTTTTTTAATATAATTGGCCAATTTGTTATGTATTGTGCTGTGCCACGTTTTGAGGGTTATTAATTGTGCCAGTGAGAACCC